GGGATTGCAGCATGGCCATCCTCTCTGGGGGGAGTGATTTCTTGCTTTCTGTCTCTCTTTCTTTCTGGTGAGTGCATGTGTCCCATAGCAAAAACTTCTCTAAAAAAAAAAAGAATTATTTAATTTTATTTATTCATTAATTTATTTTTTAATTTGACCAGAGTGACACACACACACACACACACACACACACACACAGAAAAAGCAAGAAAGCAAGCCACCAGGTCCAAGACTTGAACTGCTGTTGGGTGTGTTCAGTGCTCTAGCCTCCATACCACCTGATGCTGGTCCCCTCCCTCTGGCAATTTAAAAAAAGAGTGAATTCTCAGGTATATGAATATTTTAATTTTAAACAATCTGAATGAACAAAAATTTGGTTGGTATCAAAATTTCCCAGATCCCTAAGAATTTATTTGACCTGTATTTTTTTTGGGGGGGGGGCGGGGGAGGGGACAAGTCAGTTGACCAAAACAAAACAAAACAAAAATAGAAACATCTCAGACATCTTTGAACCTGTTGGTTCCCTCCACCCCCAGAAATGCTCCCCAGAGCCTTGGAGGCTGTTGCAGACCTGCACTGGGATCCCAGGTCCATCAGGGGCCTCCTCATCTTCTTTGCTGAGTCCCTTCTTGCCCCTCCCATACTCTAGCTAGGGTTTCTGTCTGAGAGTCCCAAGGAAGATAAGAGCCTCTTCTCTTCCCCACCCTCCTTCCTCCCAGGGCTGACCCAGCTGGGATTCCAGAGCCAGGTCAGCTTGTCAGCTGTGAGTGGCACCCCCCGCCCCTGAGTACTGGGGTTCTGGCTCGTGCCCAGCACCATCCTCGTAGGCAGCTCTGTGCCCACAGGGGCCACGTTGCTATGGTGATTCCACTACCCACACAGTGTCCAGGGAGACAGCACGGTGTAGCGGGAGCTGTTTGCAAGACTTGCTGAAACCAGCACTGACAGGCTGGGAAGATTCCGGAAAGGGTCAGAGTGGGGGATGGAAGCTAAGTGTGACTGCTTCCCTAGCAGTGGTGCTGTGTGTGTGTGTGTGTGTGTGTGTGTATGAGAGAGCCACGTGCATGTGGGCTCACACATGTGCCCACTCCATGCCTGTCCAAGTTACAATGGCCTTTCCAAACAGAGGCACAGTCTCTAGAGGCCTGATCACGTGACTGTCATAGGTTTCCTCCTGACATCTATGGCTTGTCATTGTATTTCTCTTCCTAATTGGAAACTAAAAGGGACAAAAAAAAAGTGGCAGTAACACAGTGGCAGGACAAGCCAAACTGCACCACATCTAGAGCTGACTTCATAGTCTCCTTCGTCCCCTGTCCATTAAGATTTCTGGTGGAATACAGGGAAGGCCACCAGGAAATCCCACTGCAATGGGGAGGAGAGATGACGAACTGCGATGCTTACCCCTCTTCCCACAGCCCCACACCCAACTCTTGCCCTGTGTATCAGGCAGCTTGTCTGGTACATGACAATTCTACAAGGGAGCATTGTCCTGCTCATCTCACAGATGACGAAACTGATGCTCAGACAGGCTAAGTCACTTGCCATGGTCACGTGCTAGTGTGTGGGGATAGCAAACCCAGCTGTTTTGAGGTCTGTGCTCACTGCACCTTCTGGCCCTGCTCTCCTTCTGCACCCCACCTAACTGGGTGAGAGTTTGCTGGGGTAGCCTTCTAGGCTTTGAGATCATGGAAACCAAGGCAGCAAGGGAAATAAAGGAGTCAGATCCCCTGGAGTAGCAGGTTGGGTACAATCCCAGTCCACCCATTGGGATTGGTATTGCAGCTCTAAATGCAAGAGCTTTCTGTTCCTCTTCCTGGGCAATATTGGGAATTATTAAATCAATGACCCTGGTCTTAACCCGTGTACACGTGTGTGCTGACCCAATTCAGTCCAGAGTAGTTAATCTATGCCTTTTCCCCACAGTCATGAATGTGGGCTCCCCCTTGCAGAGCCTCTGAAGCAGCCTTGACTGCAAATAAATGAATTCTCAGGGGTGGTGAGAACGGGGCCCTAACATCTTCCCGAGCCCTCGTGTTCGGAGCTAATGCTGATTTGTAAAGCGCTTTATGATTTATTCATACCGCCTTCCCAGGCTTCCGAGGACAACCTTCCCCTCACACAAATGAGCGCGACTCCCAGAATAGAATGTCAGGCTTCATTAAAAGAAAAAGCCCGGGTGTGGGGGATGTCCCTTTTTTTGCTCCCTAGACCGCGTCACCCAGCGTTTGTAGAATCAGGCCAAGCTCCAGAAAGCACCTTTGGCTCCTGAACAAGGCATGATGTCAGAAGCTTCCTTCTCAGAGAGACTGTCCGAGGGCTGGGCAGTTCTCAAAGTCTGGGAGTCTCTCTGCACCAAAGACTTGAACGTGGGCCCAGGGCGAGCATTCTCCAGGGGCCAATGACTTGGGAGAGGACCCAGGGTAGAGTTCTGCTCCATTGATTATTATTTTTTTTTAATGTTTGAGGGTTCTGCATGCACAAAAGAGAGAAAGACAGAGCAAGACACCTCCCAATGGGTCCTAGTCACCCAGCGATCTTTTTTCCTCCAGTTCTCTATCTCATCAGGATGCTGGGCCTATTGTTTAAGCGACTGGGGCCAAACCCTGGTCAGCCATGTGGGATCCAGCTTCCTCTGTGCAGTGCTGGATGGCTGTACTACAGGGTTGGCCCTCCACTGTTTGCTGGCTAGGGCACCGAGGCAGGCCCCTCACTTCTCAGGGGTGCCACCGAGGGACCGGAGCACTAGATACATTAGAAATTGCTGACTTAGCCTGTTAGCCTCCTGGTGTCAAACTTGGGGAGAGAATCTAGGCGTGGTGAAGCACGAATGGAAGAGGGAAATCCTGCTGTCCTTGTCACTCGGCTTCATCAGGGTGCCTAGGGGGCAGCCCTTTCTCAGATTTTTCACCACTGCCCAGGAAGGTTGGCCATAGAAGACGATGGTACCAATGAAATGGTAAGGCAGCACGGGCACACAAGTCATGCTGATGTGAAGCATCGGGGACTCAGTGAGCTTCACAGCTCCCTAAAATAGCAAGACTGCCACATGCTGCAGTTACCATTCTGGTCCAGAGGGAGCAAATACCGACTTCTGGGCTGCTCAACTTCTTTAGAAGCTGCCTCTCGGCAATCTGAAGCCAAGGATCTGCCTCTCTTGCAGTCACCTCCTTAACTCCCAGAGGGCTGAATAAAGCAGGGGACAGTGTTGAGCTTGCACTAAAAATCTCTGAGTGAGATAAGTGAACCAAGCAGGTCATGGAGCTTTGGGGTACCCCTGCCCTCCAGTCCACTCCAGCAAAAGAAAGCTTGAGCACCCAGGTCATGCTACTCCTCTTGGTATTTGAGGATTTCTCAATGTGGGTTAAAGTAAGAGTATCTGTAGGCATTCTCCTTTCTAGATGACTCACATTGAAGTTACTGGTGACATTAACATCTAGACGCGGTATCACAGGCAGACCGACTGTCTCTAATCGTCTTCAAGAATCAGAGGAGAAAGTCCCTAGCACATAAGGTCCTGGGGGTTCTCCCCTTTCCATGGGCTGTCCCAGAGCCTAGGGGCCAGATGCAGTACTAGTTTAAGGCATGGATGGTGACATGCTGCGTGTTACCCCTCACTGCCAGCTTTCAATCCACCACTTCCCAGCAGTGGGTAGGCAGTACCGAGACCCTGGAGCAGCAAATACGATCTAAGAGACTGCTTTGCACAAAAGGCCTATGCTGCTCTCAACACCTTAAAAGAAAACAGCAACTACAAAAGAGTTGCTTTTGGATTAATCCGGTCAACACTGATCCTTTGACCATCCCCTCCAGTGTTATCTTCCAGGTAGAGAATTGGACAATGTATTGTATTTGGGACAATAAAGAGACCCAAATGGCTAACCCAGTTTTGACAGACCACTGTAGTCAAAGTCCAGAAATAAATCCCAACCGGTCATCTTATTTTTAAAAGGTAAACCGACGATTCTTTCAATGGAAGCTTAGTTCCACACAACTGCTAATTGCTAACACATAACCTTCTTTAAAAAACAACTAACAGGCATTTCTTTGGGCATCAAAAATCTTGAAAGGCTAATTAATTTTCAGAATAATCTTTTAAAACGGTAGTAAATAAATTACACTGTTTTGGGTTTCCTTAAACACATGCATTTTCAATGGGGATAATTTAGCCTCCTTGGGGGCAAACATTGGTTCTTTTTTATTATTTATTTATGTAATTAATTCCATTTGTTATTATTATTTTTTAATTTGACCAGAAAGAGATAGACAGAGAGAGAAACAGAAAGTGAGAAAGCAAGCCGCCAGATTTAGTACTTGAACCATGGTCAGCCATGTAGGAATCCAGCATCTTTAACCACCATGCCACCTGCCAGCCCCTAAACATTGGTTCTTGACTGTGAAGAAAGCTACTATTTTTTTATATATAAACCATAGGTCCTACAAAAAACACGCAAACAGATATTCAGTATATGTCAGGTATTAAAATTTCATGGGGGAGATGATACAAAAAGGCTCCTTAAGGGAGCAATAGGAAAAAAACTATTTAAGAAACACCACTTCTATAGAAAATAACAATTATAACTTTTTTTATGTGCCTCAAAGTCTGCTATACACATATCTCTCACCATATTCTATGATGAACTTTGAGCAATATGCGAGGATTTGCTTGTTTTTAAAATGACCCTGACCCTGGGTGCTAAAGCTTTTCTGGTTGATTACCCCCACCACCACCACCACCACTTCTATGTTATCCCATCATTTTTCAGTGGGCTACCTGCTAGCATAGGCTGGTTAAGCGCATTGTCTTAATTTTACAGGCAACACTTAAACCTGTTTGGGTCTGAAACACCATACTTCCCTGTTGAATTGCAGAACTGCTAAGTGGGTTGTTGACTGTTCATGCATTTTCAAGTACTTCTGGGTTTTTCTCTGATTCTGATGATTAAGGTAAGCAAACAAACTTCCTATCACATATGATTGGCATATGCAGAATGACTTACAGTGCAAAGTGTTTCAAAGGTCTTTTCAGAGACAAAGGATCCATCAAGGCCAAAGAGAAATATAGATGCATAGGAGAGCATTCCTCCGAGGATAATAAGGTTGTTCATATATGGACTCGACATCTTTATCAGCCTGATGAGAGAAAAAGATAATGGATTTACAGAGATGCTAAGTCAGCTATTCCTTCCACAACGATTTTCCAAGTGTCTATGAGGTGTATGTTGCCAATGCTGGAGGGGGAGAGCAAGATGGCGGCTCTAGTTTTATCCACTTCCTGATCCCTAGATGTGCTACTTACTGGGGTCTGATTATCCTTTTCAAAATGCCCCCAGGCCACCATATATTTCTTTCTTTATTTCTTTCTCTCTTTCTTTCTTTCTTTTTTTTTTTTAATAGGATTATTTATTTATTATCATTATTTTTCAATTTTGACCAGAGAGAGCATGTGCGAGTGAGCCACCAGGTTTGGGACTCGAACCATGGTCATCCATGTGGGAATCCAGCACCTTTAACCACCATGCTTCCCTTTCTTGAGTAGGCCTCACCAAGGAGGTCCACAAGTGAGTATTTGGGGCTGCTCAGGACCTGGGGTCACCAGGTGGTGAGGGAGCATCCACTCTGGCTGCCTCTGAACATTCAGAAAGCTTACACTGTCCCACATACAAAGAGGGCCACCCACACGGGTAGAAACGCTTCCCCATTCTCCAGGGGATAGAGGTGGACAGTGAAGCCCCCATTCTCACCCCCAACCTGTCCTTATCAGGCTGCTATTGGGGTGCTCTTTATACTCCCAAACTCTACATGCTTCTTTGTCTCTTCTTCAGGAATCCTACACTGGCTCTCAGTAAACAGGACTGATTAAGCTATTAATGGGCTGGAGTTTACCTCCTCCAGAGGTACCCAATCTGCCAGTACCATCAGTTCAGAACATCTAAAGCTTTCTGGCCCTCCATGATCCAGGGGCTCCTTGGCAGATTCTAATTATGGTCAATTATCTCTTGAACATTTTCCTTTGCATTATGCAATTCTATGAATCCTTCCACACCTTACCCATGTCACAAGTACAAGTGATAGAGAAATGGAGACCCTTCTGATTTTTGTGTGGGGACCACATGAGTACTTTGGTGGTGAGAATGCTGAGTCCAGAGCTTAGCTCCTGCTTCCCTAAGGAGGCACACCCTTGGTAATTTATTTGGCCGTTTCCTCACCTGTAAAATGGGAGATCTGCTCATGCTGTATAGGGCACAAAAATCTGAGAGGCACTGGGTCTCTGGAGGTCCTCTCATAAATCATGGGCTGCTAAGATATCCTCATTGTTACTGTCATAGCAGACTGGGGAGGGGAGAGGCCAGGATGGGGCAGAATTCTTGCAGGAGGTGAGCCTTACAGAATGAACAGCATTTAAGAAGGCAAAAGTGAGGGGGATTTGGAACCATACTGATATTTATTTCCTGTCTCTTTGCAGATTTTTCCCAAATTATTTAATTTAATTTTTATTCATTATTATTATTTTTCAATCTGACCAGAGAGAGAGAGAGAGAGAGAGAGAGAGAGAGAGAGACAGCAAATTTTCTTGTGTGTTTTTCTCTTTCTCCCCCCCCCCCCCCAATGGCATCTCCCTAGTAGCTGGCTGGTCTGTTGTAGTCCGTGTCTCTTTTTATGGTGTTAAAAAACAAAAAAAAAAAAAAAAAAAAAAAAAAAAAAAAAAAAAAAATAATCACCTGGATGCCAGCCTCTTGGAAACAGTAATGATAACAGCCTCTGACCCCTGGGAGGCCAAGAAGGGATAGTGAAGGAATGAAAGGAGTTTTGTCTCATGAGGGCAAAGTTTGGGGGACTCTGTCTCCTAGAGACTCTCTCCTTTTGGGCCACCATGACGTGTATAAGCATATCCAAAGCTCTAAGAAGGCCCGGGCCTTGGACCCTTCAATTTAATTTAATCCAACCTTCCTCAACCTTTTTTAACCATAGTCTCCTATGAAACCAGCAGCCCTGCCCCCCCCCCTCTCTGTGTGTGTGTGTGTACTCATGTGTATATGACACTTAGAATATCCTAGCAACAGGGCACACACTTTAGAAAACTCTGCCCTGCAAACTTCTGTGCCCTTGGAGAGTCTGTCATTGTGCCTGAGGCTTGTCAACCCAAAAGCATTACCCAGAGGAGGGCACAAAGGGCTTACTTCTGATTCCGATTCTTGATGTTGAAGAAGAGAAAAGCACTGGCCATGATCATGCCCAGGATGGTGAGAGCAGAGAGGATGCTGTAGAGAGGTAAGGAGATCTTCCGGAGTTGCTCCAGGATGATGGTCTTGTCTTTTGGTGGTTCGGATCCTAGGAGGCCAAGGAGAAAACATCAGCAGAGCCTGACGCATGGTTGACGTAAGGATCACCTTTGCTCTGGTGTGCCTGAAGTATGGGCAGGCCCCTGAGCACAAGCTCTGTGCAAGGCACATTTACCCACTGGCTGAGCCAGACCTGGTGGCTGGCCAGTCTTCCCAGCAGGGAGCCTGAGCCAGGACTTATTTCTTTCTCTAAATAGAATCAATAAGGGATTTGTGATGCATTTTATAGCCATTAGAAGACTAGAATTTGATTTGGTCTAATTACACTGTTGAAAAATCATCACCATTTATCCCCTAAGGCAACAATAGGAAGTCCCAGGACTGGGTGATGTGAGCAGATACCATCCGGTACCACAGTGAGTGAGGAACTTGGTTTTGGTTTCCAGGACTGTGCTCCCACACATCCATGATACGGGATCATCCCTCAACAGGATGGGCGCCCTGCCTGTCAATGCCATGGGGATACATATATGCTCTGGTTGTAGAGTTTCTGTCTCAAGGTCGTTCTGTTACAAAAGCTCTTTCTGGTCTTCCATTTTCTCTAAGATACTCTACCTGTGGGAGGCAGAAACTACCTTCTTCTCCCTGCTCTGCCAGGACTGGACCAAAACTGTGGGGTTCCATTTCTTTGCGTGACTGCAGAAATGTCCTGTACATTCTTTAAAGGCATTCTTTAAGGGTATCATTCTTTGGGGGAGCCCCGAAGGTCTCAGAGCAAATGCATTTTTTTGCATGGTGGAAACATTGTCTTACTTTAGTTTCACCAGGTCCAAGTTAGTTTGGGATGAGGGATGAAGGGACTCTCCAGCTTCATGCAAAACTTTTCTTTCTTAGTTGTTTTTCAGGGTAGATTTCTTCTGTGGAATTGTGAAATGCTAGGGCTCTTCCCTCCAGTGGGGAAATGCAGAATCAGATGCTTGCAAGTGACTGAGGCTTGGAGCCCCACCAGGGTCACAAAGATCCCAGGGGTGTGCCAAGGGCCCTAGCCCTGGTTATATCTGTTGCCAGGAGAAAATCAAGGGATGGGCAGATGTGGGAACAGGGTTTGGAAACTCCCCCCAAACATCTGTGTTTAAAAAACTCTGCTTGCAAGTTCAAATGTGTTTAGACACATTTGATGTACAAAATGAGTTTGAGCCATCTAAGAAAGCTAGGGAAGCTGCCAGGTTTGAAAATGGCCAGGAACCTGCGGGCATGGTTAATGGAAAGCCTTGAGCAATTCCACGGAAAGTAACATTTACAGGAAGTGTGGTTCCAAGGGCCAATGTCGGCAAGATAAAGGCAACATCATTTCTTGCTTCTGGAAGTGAAAGCTCAACTTCTGGAAACTTCTTTTCCCACTACCCCCTCTCCTCTATATACCCCTGGACTGCAGAAAGCTGGCTCAGGTACCTTCTGGCTCTCAAATGAGGTGAGGAACGAGTCCCTCTCTGGGCACTAAAAAAGGGGGCTGAGGTTTGGATCAAAGGTAATATGATCACTATGACCACTGGTAAGTTTGGGCCCATTGCATAGAAACAATCGCAGAAAACTGACATTTCTCCTTGCTCCACCTCTCCCCACAGAATGGCACCTCCCTGGGTGTATCTTAGCTAAGATGCTTGGACTTGAATGGGGGTGTATCTGGGGTGGTCCTGGGGTTTTCTTCTTGCTTTCATCTAGACCATTCACTCATTGTCATTTCATTATCTTCATTCATTCACTCCCTCATTCATTCATCAATCATCATGAATGATGACTAATCCTCATTGATAATTACCTTCCACCTGCTGGGCCTAATGCTGGCCACCAATATTAAATAAATAAATAAATAAAAGACAGTTTCAGCTTTTGAGAACTTACATATCCGTCCTGGGGAAAGTTAAAAGCAATAACAGGGGAAATCATATTTACAAAAAGCTTACCACAGTCTATACCCTTTGTGGAGAATTTCTCACTTGATCCATCCAACAGCCTCATGGGTAGATAAGACTATTCCCATTTTTCAGAGGGGTCACAGTTTGCTAGGTGTGAAATGGCCTTTATTGCTAGTAAGTGGCAATCCATTGCATAGAAACAATCGCAGAAAACTGACATTTCTCCTTGCTCCACCTCTCCCCACAGAATGGCACCTCCCTGGGTGTATCTTAGCTAAGATGCTTGGACTTGAATGGGGGTGTATCTGGGGTGGTCCTGGGGTTTTCTTCTTGCTTTCATCTAGACCATTCACTCATTGTCATTTCATTATCTTCATTCATTCACTCCCTCATTCATTCATCAATCATCATGAATGATGACTAATCCTCATTGATAATTACCTTCCACCTGCTGGGCCTAATGCTGGCCACCAATATTAAATAAATAAATAAATAAAAGACAGTTTCAGCTTTTGAGAACTTACATATCCGTCCTGGGGAAAGTTAAAAGCAATAACAGGGGAAATCATATTTACAAAAAGCTTACCACAGTCTATACCCTTTGTGGAGAATTTCTCACTTGATCCATCCAACAGCCTCATGGGTAGATAAGACTATTCCCATTTTTCAGAGGGGTCACAGTTTGCTAGGTGTGAAATGGCCTTTATTGCTAGTAAGTGGCAATGCTGGCAGGATCTGAGCCCAGATCTGCCTAACTCTGTGCCTGTGCTCCAGCCATCATGTCACTGGCTCTGACTACGGTTGGCTCCGGGTGGTAGGACGGGCACAGGAAGGCCTGATGTTGGGAGGGAGCAGAGTGCAGTTCTGCCTGAGAGAGTCAGGTAAGGCTGCATAAGGGAGCCACTGTGGATGCTGAGCCTTGGAAGAGGAGAGCAGTGGGCAGTTCACCAGGAAGACAAGGAAGGAAAGGGTGATCTGGGCAGTGGTCACAGCATAAGAAGACCATGGTGGTGTTCAGTGTGTTTGAGACCTGTAAGCAGTTAGGTTGGGAAGATTTGGGAGAAGAGACAGGGAAGTGAGGAGGGGTCTCCTTATGAAGGCCTAGGAGCCATAGCATGGAGTGAAGCCCTTTGAACTCAGAGCAATGGGGATGCGCAGGGCTCAGAGCCGAGGTGGGGCATCTTCAGCATGGCATGACAACAAGGGCACTTGAGATTCTGAGGGCAGAATGGGCTTGAGGCAGATAAGACTGGTGGTGAGGGAGCCATGGGGGCTGGTGCAGGAGTCCAAATGAGAGGGACTACACCCAGGCCTAGTCATAGACAGGAGAGAAGGGTCCGCCTGGTCCTGGAGGTGTCCTGCCTCTCTCTGGGTTCAGAGACTGGTTATTCACTCCCTGTGCAGTGGGGGAAGGTCAGAGAACAGGCAGGGGCCCTGGAACAGCTGCTTCCTCAGTGTTGTCCCAGCCTGGAGGCAGAGCCTGAGGCCTGAACAGCAGGGCCTGAGCATAATCAATGATGAGCATGAGCCTGGTGTCCCTGTTATTTGGTCACCATGTAGCTGGTTTCCCCCCACCCCCTGAAATTTGTGTTTTTCCTCTCTGTTAAGTTTTGGATCTTTAGTTTTGTGTTTGGATCTTTTCTTCAATTTTTGAACCCAGAATCCTTGTTCAGTAAACCCCAATCTCCCTGTACAGGAGCTGATAGGCTTGTTTTCCCAGGACTCTGGTGGTCAGAATGAGCCATGCCTCTCACAGGCAGTGTGAATTTGGGGCCTCACCCTTTTTGAGCCATCTTCTCATCTGTTCACAGGGATGAGAGGACTTGCCTACCCACCTTTTAGAGTTTTAGGGGCTCCATGAGGTGATACGTGATTACATGCTCAGTGATAACTCCCTCAGATAGTCTGGGGAGGGCCACCTGAGTGTGGAGACCACTCTCTCCTTGGAGGCCAACTGAAGTTTTGCTTTGTGATGTTCTCAAAACAGAGTATCTACAGATCCATTGGCTATGCAGAGAGATAACAAAATCTAACTGAAGGATCCATGTAAAAGCCTTCCCTTGCTTTATAAAAAAAGTTCCAGGCAAGAAAGCCAGTTGTCTCATTTTCTGCTGACCTTATAGAAACAAAGTGACAGTATTTGGGGAGTCATCAATGTGGTAGCTTCTTTCATTGTAGTTGAGTGACTAGGATGTTCATTAATCCATCCATCTACCATACATTCACCACCTGCTCACCCACATATCTACCCACCAGCCACTCATACATCCCTATCCATCCATTCATCTATCCATCCATCCACCGATCTATTTACTCATGCATCCACCCATCCACCTATCTATTCATTCACTCACTTTTATATCCATCCCCCCAATCAACCATCCACCTGTCCATCTGTCCATTCACCCATCCATCCACCTATCCATCCATCTACTCACCCAACCATTCACCTATCCATTCACCTATCCATTCATCTATCCATCTATCCACTCACCCATCCATCCACCTATTCATCATCTACTCACCCAACCATCCACTTATCCATCCATCCATCCATCCACCCATCTATCCACTCACCCATCCATTCACCTATTCATCCATATACTCACCCAACCATCCACCTATTCATCCATCCATCCATCCATCCATCCATCCATCCATCCATCCGTCCATCCATCCATCTATTCACTCACCCATCCATCCACCCATCTATCCATCCATCTCTCCATCCATCTATCCACTCACCCATCCATCCACCTATTCATCCCTCTACTCACCCAACTATCCACCTATCCATCCATTCATCCATTTACTCACATATCCATCCAACTATCCATCCATCTACTTGCCCACCTATCCATCCATCCATCCACCCACCTACCCACCCACCCACCTAACCACCCACCCACTCACCCGTCCATCCACTCAACTGTTCATCCATTCACCCACCTATCTACCCAGCCATTTACCCACCATTCATTTTATCCATCCATTCATTCACTTGATCAATCATGTTTTTGTTGTTGTTTGTTTGTTTGTTTTGTAAACATCGCTGAGCCTCCAATGTCAGATCCTGGCTGGTGCCAGGAACTTAAAGTCAAATAGAATCTAGGTAGGGACTCATGGTCCAATCACCTAGTAAGTTTAATGCAAAGTGACAATGGCCATAGTTAAGGCAGAGACAAAGACTGCAGAAACAAAGAGAAAGGAGCCTTCAGCACACCTGGGGGGACAATTAAGGGAGGCTGCACAGAGGAGGCTCTGCATTTGACTTGGTTCTAAGAGCTGAAAAAGACCTCTACAGAAGGAGAAGGAATGGTCTTTCAGGACAAGCAGTAGGTGGAGAGGTCTTACTATCAACCCAGAGAGGGGATGATACTCAGTTTAGCTGAGTCACATTTAAAAATTGCTGCTGGCCATCCAATGGTTTAAACATGGTGAGCACCTGAAGCAAATTCCAGTGATCCATTCCAAGAGCTGGAACCCACATGAGTGATTGGGATCCTGTGCTCAGTGAGTATATGTGTTGAGGATGTTCCTTCACCTACACAAAACCAAGGACTATGAGCTTGTCACAGTCTTTCAGACAATGTCCAGGCTTAGGAGCCAACTGAGAAGACCCTCTTCTCCAAGAAGCCCACCTGCCTTACCTTGGAATCTGATAGTGTCGTTGATGATCTCCAGCGTGTCGGCCACAGCATTGTACTCTCCCACTTTCACTTCCCTGCTGTCTGTGGAGAGAAAGAGACAGTGGCCACTCAGATTGGGATCTCGGGTTTGTGCCCGGGTGCTCCTACTCCAGCTCTTGGTCCCCTTACCAGCCTTGGCTGTATTCTTGCAGGCTTTCCTTCCTCTAGGGTCCCTTCCAGTTAGGATCACAAAACCTCCAACCTGATCTGGGCTGAACAGCTTCTCACAACTTCTCATTAACTGGTTGTCCACCCTTTGCTGCACATCTCAAGAGTGGAGGGCCCACTTCCCTGTAACTGAATTCTCTGCCTGTTATCAAGTTCTTCTCCATCATTGAGCTGAACTGTCCCTTTGTAACTTGCCCCTGCTCATCTGGCTCCACCCTCTGGGACTCCACAGCCCACTTCTGCTCTCTCTACCTCAAGGCCACCCAAGAACTGAAGACAAGGACAGATCATCCCCCTGGTACCAGCCCCCAACTCTTCTTACAGAACATCATTTCTACTTCCCACTCCACCCAGGCCCCTCCTGGGGACACACTCTGTGATGTCACTTGTCTCTCTGATATAGAGTGTAGATATGACAATTGACCAATGCACTGTAGGCAAGATTTGCTTAGCAGCCAGTCATGGGAACCATTCCCTCTTCCATTCTGGAATAATATTCCCCTAATGCATCCTGAGGTGGAATTAACATTTTTCAGAAGCCACATGGCTCTGCTGTGTCATACCTGGCATGGCTCCTACTACCCTTGGTTCCTTTATATGCCCTTGTTCGGTGTGTTGTCATACTCCAGTGGTGTGTTCAAGGACACCTTTGTTCTCCTTACTATGTTGCTTAGTGAGTTTAGTTGACCGTCTTGGTCACTGTTGAGGAAAAGATAGTGAAGCCTGGCCCAGGGCAGGGGCAGAGGAATTAAGAGGGAAGATCAGATATGACAAAAGTTTCTTCAAAATTGAGGCCAGTGAGTGATCAACTGGGAGATGAGAAACATGGGGCCAAGTAAGTTGTCCAGAGTTCTGGTGGGATGACCAGGGGCTCAGGTACCACTCCCTGAGTAGGCACACAGGAGGTCAAATGTGGAGGGAAGCTAACGAGTTCGGACTGGGTGTGTTGTCCTGAGGTGCCCGAGGACATCGAGTTGGGGAGGTCCTAGAGACTGGAGCCTAGGGGAGAGGAGGGTGACCAAGAGAGTGGGGGCATCAGAATGAAAGCTGGGAGGTGGCATGCGAGACAGGGATGAGCTCCCCAGGGAAAGTGAGTCAAATGAGGAGAGGACCAAGCACAGCAGTGTTGAGAAGCAATGGCACTCTCAAAGGAGACAGAGGAGGGGCAGGACACCGGGAGTAGGGAGCTAGGAGAAAGAGGGCAGCTAGGAAGCTGAGGAAAGGGATAGTTTTACAATGGTACTGGCCAGTACTGTCACATGCCACTGAGAGGTTGGACAACCAGCCTCTTGAGCAGAGTCTCAGTGGACTGGGAGGGGATACCAGTGACCACAAATGAAGCAATTTCAGAGAAATGTGAGAGTCAGAGAGAGAGAGAGAGCAAGGGGCGAGGAAAGTAAGAGTAGAGTGGAGCCCCCAGGGAAGAGCAGGCTATCAAATGTGGGGCCCAGGCAGGAAGAGATCCAGAGTGCTTACTGAGCCCTTAGGGTGGGCCTGATCTGGGCTGTTCATGCACATGTTCTTGTTCAGTTCTAGCAGCTGCATGGAGTAGGCGGTCTCAGTTCTATCTTACAGAGAAGAAAATGGGCTGAACTGTGTGGTCACACTCTGTAAGGCTGACCCACATGGGAGGGCTCTGGGTTTGTGTCCAGAAACCTCCCTGGGAACATGGGGCAGCATGTGCCCATGGTCTGGGGCTGGTAAAACCTGGGGAAGGATCATAGCATGGAGATCCTGTCAGGGGTGCTCTCCCTCCCCTTCTGTCTCTGAACAAATAAAACTAAAATAAAACAAAAAAAAACAAAAAAAAAAAAAAAAAAAAAAAAAAAAAAAAGAAAAGAAAAGAAAGAGAAGAAAAGAAAAAGAAAAAGAAAATGGAGGCTCAGGAAGTTTATAGTTTTGCCCAGGACCCCACTGACGGTAAGAGCAGAGCCCAGATTCAAACCCTGGGCTTTTCCCATAGCCCATGCTATTTCCTGACACAGAGTGGCCTCAATGGGGTATCCGAGACGTGATGGCTCTATACCAAGCTGCCCTCTCCACAGCCACAATCCGTGCCCTTCAGCTGTAACGAATGCACATGCACAGAGAGCCCACCCACCCAGATAAAAGCTCCCCTCTCCCCCCCCCACACACACAGTGCATGGGTCCCCAAAGCACAGACCCTGACCAGCAAAATCCCCCCAGGCTATAAAGGAATTTCAAGCAAGTACCCAGCGGGACTGCCTCCTGACACTGTGGCTCCAGGTGAATTTCCTTGCAGAAAAGCAGGCGGCTCCTGGTCCCTCATAAACAGTTAAGAAACAGAACAAGGAATCTGAGGCTTCTGCCCGCATTCCTTTGACCACGTGGGGGAAACAGGGACTGCAAAAGTCACTTCCTTCTCTCTGCAAGGGTCCTCACCATGTGGGGGACATCACACTGGGCAGACGCCTGTGCTTGCCTGGGTCACCTGGCTCCCAAATGTCACATTAGCAGACACTGCTGGGGACTCCAGCATCCCCGCTCTGGCCTTTTGATATCCCCAGGCCTGCAGATGCGCCAGTCAGCTCCTGCCGCTGGAGGAGGAGGCTCTCATTTATTTATTTGCCGTGGGGAGGCAGCACATGAAATATGCAGGCTGATTGGAATCAATCACCGAGAGCCGGGAAGTGGCGAGGGTGGCACCCCACCGCGCCCCCAGCCACACAGCCCGCCTCTGACTCACGCCCTGCTGTACGTCCAGTCCCCTGGCACCGAATAATACTCAGCTTCCCACCAGGACCATAATCACCATAATCTCTCCCTGGGGGCAGTACTTGGAGGCTTGCAGGCATTTCCCAGGTTCCTGCATTTAACGCTAGGGGCAAACCATGAACGGGGCATGATTCACCCTGTCTTCAGCAGAGGGAGGAGCTCGTCTGGGTTCACTGAGTGCTCAGAGCCACATGTAGGACAGCGACTGAGTGGGTCCCTGAACTTGGTCTCTCGTTTTGAATTCACCCACACTGAGCAGGGCTGCTGGTCAGTCAGTCAGTCCACACTTATCGGGTTGTTGGAAAAGTCCCGATGCATTCTTGCGTAGGAAAACAGAAAAAAACACTTCGTGACTTATTGTAAACCCTGATATTATGTGCTTATTACATGTCAGGCCCACTCAGATACTTTCTAATCAAGAACCCCTCAAAATCAGTGCTGCAGGTGGTAGGGGGTCAAAGTGATTTCCAGGGCTAAGGTGGCTCTGGCTATCTTAGATGCTGGAGAGATGTTTACACTAAATTCCCTGGTTTAATCACTTCATTCATTCACTCCTCCGTTTATTCATTCACTCAACAAGCATGATTCAGCACCTGGGATGGGTCAGCCTCCACACTGAGGGCTAGAGATACAATGATATGAAAAAAAAAATGATAATCTCTGACCTTTTGTGTGAACAAAACCGCAGATGAGGAACTTGCAGAGCCGCTATGAAAGTTTAAGAGGAGAGTATATGCAAAGTTCCTGGCTTGGGACCTAACTCACAGCAAGTGTTGAATAAATTGTAGTTATTTTATTCAGGACCAAAGTAACTGTGAGCTATTTGCTAGGTCCCCAAACACTCTATGTTTTCTTCCTCCTATGTATTCTCCACAACAGTCCGTCCACTGGTAAGGTAGTTTTCCCCTTCCTCCACCAAATCAGTGTGTCCCTGCCCTACTGCATCTGCCAGGAAGCCTTCCCAGAGGCAGGAGGATGGGTGCTGGGTTTCTACATGCTGGGACCTGGGCTTTACTCCCTACACCCCCAAACTCCATTCTGACTTGGCTCTGGCTCCAAACGAAGGGAGGTATATGCGTGCATTAAAGTTTAATTGTTGTTGCAGACACACATAGAGACTCAATATAACTCTGGGTGGAAAATGAAAAGATGGTCTTGGCTCAACAGAAATAAAAGATTCTCTAAATGTCAATTCTAGGACGCCCCAATGAAGTCCCAAACTCAGACATAGGGAAGCGCTCTGAGCCTGGTGGGAGACAGGAGCTCTGGAGCCTGGGTCGGCTTTGCTGTTGCCTCTGTGCCCAGTGTCACCGCCATGCAATGTCCTGGGGAAGCCCACCTATGTCCTGCCAAACGAGTGGGTTAGGAGGGATGACTTCATGGTCTCCAGCTGCCGTCCAACACTCTGCAACTGCTTTGCACGGTCTTCCTGATTCCAAGCCGAATCCTGCCAGGCCTGGCTCTGCCCTGGGGCTCTGCTGCACTTTGACCCCTGCTTCTGATGGTCCTTCAGAGATGGACACTATGACCATGGACCTTAATTCTGCTGGTCTCAGGATGAACAGCCATTCCTCAGGAAGTGGTCTGTCATGCCTATGCTGATACCCATCTGGTCACTGCCTGTGCACAGGCCCAAGAGGGCCACTCTCCCTCACACAGCAACCCACTCAGCATCCCAGAACAAAGGTGCACTTTGTGCTTCCGGGGCCTGGCTCCTGCACACCCACTCTTTGTTGTCACAATCAACACATCATTGCCACATTCTAAATAGTACAGAGACCTCTGAGACTTTCAACAGGCAAGGTGGACACTGGCTTAGTGTCCCAGGGCTTTAATAACCCCCTAGAGGTAGACATTCCCATGGACTTTGGTGTTCTGGCCCAGTGACAAGAGCTAAATACCTGAGGGGACCCAGGTATTGGTGCATAGAGCAACAATCTCTCTCTCTCTCTCTTTTTTGTTTGCTAACTCCTTGTCCTTCAGAATTCATCTTGGACATTGCCTGTAGCCTGCCTGGATCCTGCCAGGTAGAGCTGAGTGCCTCTCCTCTGAATGCCTGGTCACCTGTGCCATCCCTTATCGCATATCACACACTGCTAGGGTCTCCTGTCTGCTCTCAGTGACCAGGAGTTCTATCA